GGTATCCTGCTGTCTACAATAACCAATCGCAGTGCGGTATCCTGTTGCCTACCGTAACCAATCGCAGTGCGGTATCCTGTTGCCTACCGTAACCAATCCCAGTGCGGTATCCTGTTGTCTACAGTAACCAATCCCAGTGCGGTATCCTGCTGTCTACAATAACCAATCCCAGTGCAGTATCCTGCTGTCTACAATAACCAATCCCAGTGCGGTATCCTGCTGTCTACAGTAACCAATCCCAGTGCGGTATCCTGCTGTCTACAATAACCAATCCCAGTGCGGTATCCTGTTGTCTACAGTGACCCATATGATCCATCTTCCAGTGATTCCAAATTGTTGCTTCTTGTGCCTTTCTGCCTTTTAATCCTATCCTTCCTTATTTGAGTTTCCTACAGCTCACCCTCAAAACTGTATCTAGTGTTCTGTACTTCTCAGTGTTACTTCACTTTGTTTAATATTGTTTTCCTGGTCCCTATAGCTGTTTGCCTATTTTCTGACATTCATTAACTTTCCTCTTGGTCAGTGATTCCTTCATTGTTTGTTAGTTTCTCTCCTCCACTCACTGCTGCCTTCTGTCAGGTCCTCAATCTCTCATTTGAAGATCTCCCATGGTCCCCCAATGACCCCAAGCTCAGTCATGACTCTGTTGGAGACTGCCAGCTAAAAACTGGTCGGCATGTTCTCGTCCTTCTGCATCTCCTTTACAAATAGCCTGTGGAATTGAATCAACGAAAGACCTTGGCTAATATCCTCTGGGAAACCCTACACTACATTTCAGGAACCCACGCTATACGAGGGATAGGACAGCACTGGAGAGGGTGCAGAGAAGATTTACCAGGATGTTTCCTGGGCTGAACAGTCTCAGTGATGAAGAGAAATTGGACAGAATGGGGTTGGTTTCCTTGGAGCAACGGAGATAGAAGGGCTACATGATTGAAATGGATAAAATTGTAAGGGGCACAGACAGGTTAGACAGGAAGAAACATTTCCCCTTGATAGAGGAATCAATTGTTGGAGGCATGGATTGAAGGTAAGGTGCAGGAGGTTTAGAGGGGACGTGAGGAAAATCTTTTCACTCAGAAGGTGGTGGGAATCTGGAACTTCACTAGCTGTAAGAGTGGTAGAGGCAGAAACCCTCATAACATTGAAGAAGTATTTAAATGTGCGCTTGTGATGGCAACGCACAGAAGGCCAAGTGCTGGAAAATGAAACTAGAATGGTTAGGTGACTAGTGCAGACTTGATGGGCCAAAGGGCCTTTATCTGTGCTGTAGACCTTTATGACCCTACCTTGCACTCGAATGTTGTGTGAGACAAAAACCCCTCAGCACCTCATCCCTCCTTGTTTCCAATACATGTTGAGAACACGACACCAACCACCACAACACATGCTTGAGGTGCATAGCAAAGATATATTGAAGGGAAAGCTGGATAAAATGAGAGGGGAAATAAATAGAACATTATAACAATAAGGTGAGATCAAGACGATAAGAGCAAGATTGCATGAAGGATAAAGTCCACCATAGACCAGCTGGGTAGAACAGCCTGTTTTTGTGCAGTAAGTTTGATAGAATGTTTGGGAAAACTCAAACGATGTTTTCGAGATCTTTTTCAAGGAAGGAAAATGTGCTGTCGCTGCTGGCCAGTTGGATAGAAACTTGAGTTTTCCATTTGGGGGTTCATTTCTGTAGTATCTGCCAAGCCTTTATAACCGCATGCTGATACTAAAGGCCTCACAGTTGTGAAAACTGAGCTGTATTTATATCTTCTCTTCTGTCTGTTTAGGGTCCTTCAGGACTCCCAGGTGGCGTGGGCAACCCAGGACCAGTGGGTGAAAAGGTGGGTGTTTTCTTGTTTGTGTTTTGTAACTGAGCAGGATTCATGGTAGATCACAAAGGATCTAGTGAACCACTCACTGAAACCCCGAAGGAATCTCTCCAGCCACGGAATGACGTGGGCATTGGCAGGAACATTGGGAGAACCAAATGAGATAGCTGGCAAGGAGCTTCCTGATGTCAAGAGTAAAGAGTCCCATTTTCCAAGCGAGTGTTGAATGGCAAGTTAAGATTCTCGCTGGTGAGCAGCGAGAAGTCTATTGGCATGGATAGACATTCTCGTTATTGCATCGTATAGCCTCATTGATATGCATTTTCTACTGTCCCATCTGCTTTATTTAGGGCATAGTGGTAATGTTACTAGAATAGTAATCCCATTACCAAGTTGGCATGATGGCTGAGTGGTTAGCACTGCTGCCTCACAGCGCCAGGGACCTGGGTACAATTGCACTCTTGGGTGACTGTCTGTGTGGAGTTTGCACATTCTCCCCATGTCTGTGTGGGTTTCCTCTGGCTGCTCCACTTTCCTCCTACAGTCCAAAGATGTGCAGGTCAGGGTGGATTGGCCATGCTAAATTGCCTGTAGTGTCCAGGGATGTGCAGGCTGGGTGGGTTAGCCATGGGACATATGAGGTTATGGGGATAGGGTAAGAGGGCAGGTCTGGGTGGGATGCTCTTCAGAGCTCGCTATGGACTTGAAGGGCTAAATGGCCTACTTCCATACTGTAGGGGCTCTATGATCCTATACAGGAAGTTCTTCAGGTTACAGTTGCATAGTTTTGGAAGAGAACCTTTCAGCCACGTTGAAAGGTTTTGTTTGCACTGGCTCTGGAAGTTGCACCTGACATGGTCCTGGTGGAGCTCAGCTCAGTTCGGTGTAACCGTTGTGTTTGACCTTCCTTACAGGGAGAGACAGGAGAAGCTGGAGACCCAGGCACACCTGGAGAGCCAGGTATCGCTGTGAGTATCCAACATTGTCTTATTCGTGACTTTCATTGAAGCACCGGTGAAGAGTTGACTGCTTATATCTACGGTCTCCCTCGCCCCTGAATTGCTCACCTTCAGCTGTGCCACCTTAATTGTTTGGTGGTTTGCCGCCAATCTTGGCTTTTCCTCGAGGGAGCAAGTTTGCGAAAAAAGACTGTGTATGGATCTGCAATTGTCTCAGCTCCCCCAGCCCCAACCACGTGGTCAGCTATTTCTCCGTGCAGGGCAGAAGAAGCCACATCAATGCAGTGACAGATCGATGCTAGGACAGTGCCCTGGGAGTGGTCAATATCAAGATGGGAATAGATAGATGACCATTCCGTACATCAAACCAGAGTTTTGATTCAGAGACCGTTTGGAATCTCAAGCATTAACGTGCTCAGATGTTAAATATGTTGTCCTGTTCTTGTTCTCTGAGCCTTTGATTAGATAAAATTGGGTTTGAGCGTTTATGCTGTATTTGAAGGTTTTTTTTTAACATCTCTTACCCAAGGGTCCTAAAGGCGATGTTGGTGATAAAGGGGACGCAGGTCCGCCAGGTGCAGCAGGACCTGCAGGGGTCAAAGGTCCTCCAGGTGAAGATGGTGCTAAAGGCGATGTGGTAAGTGGGCCATCTTCTGTCTGTATCTGTACATGGATGGCCAGGGCAGGTTCTCCTCAGGGTTGGACTTGAAGCTTACAGAAGGCACGATGACGGCTCACCAAACTGGGGAAATGAGGATTTATTTTTCTGCTCAGTCACGGATTGTGGGCGTTGCTGTCTAAGTCGGCCAGTTCTGCCCATTCCTCGTAGCCCCAAGTGGCATGCTTGGCCATTTCAAAGGGCAGTTAAGGGCTCTTAACCATTGCAGTGGGTCTGGAGTCACATGTAGATCAGACCGGGTATAGATGGCAGATTTCCCTCATTAAAGTGCATTAATGAACCAGAGGAGTTTTTATGACTGTCAACAGTGGGCTATTGATCATCAGCTTCACTTTCTTAATTTGTTTTTTAATGAGTTCACATTTCACCATCTGTCATGTTACTTTGTTATTTTATTCATTCAGTGTGTGGGCATCACTGGCACAGCATTTATTGCCCATCCCTAACTGCCCAGAGGAAGTTAATATTCGATCACTTTGCTATGGGTCTGGAGTCATATGTAGACCAGACCGGGTAAGGATGGCAGATTTCCTTCCCTAAAGGTCATTAGCAAACCAGATGGGTTTTTACAAAAATCGACAATGGATTCATGGTCATCATTAGGCACGGAATTCCAGGTTTTTATGGAATTCAAATTCCACCATCTGCCATGGCAGGATTTGAGCCCATGCCTCCAGAATGTTACCTGGGTCTCTGGATTACTAGTCCAGTGGCAATATCACGTCAATGCCTCCCCATCATCGTTAAACAGGGAGCAGTTGTGTGGACCATGTCTATACTCCTTGGAGCTTGGGAAAATAAAAGATGATGCCATTGAAAGATGGAAGGTTCGTCAGGAGCTTGACTGATTGGGGACTGGGAGGATGTTTCAGCCAGCTTGGGAATCTGGAAAACAAGAACACAGCCTCAGGGTGGAGTGATTAAGGATTGCAATGAGTAGATTTCACTTGGAAGTTTTCTTGCCCTGTCACAAATGCAATTGTCTAATACCTCTCTCTCTCTCTCTCTTTCTGTCTTCTGTGTCTCTTTTTCTCTGTCGTCTGATTCTCAGGGTCCGGCTGGTTTTCCCGGTGATCCCGGTCCAACAGGCGAGCCAGGTGTCCCGGTGAGAAGCTAAACCTCGGTGCGGGATTCTTTGATTCCGAAGAAAAGCCACACTCAACTCGAAGTTTTAACTCTCTCTCTCTCTCTCTGCAGACGCTGCCAGATCTGCTGAGTTTCTCCAGCACTTTGTTTTCTCATTGTATCCTCCTGACGGTTACTGACACGTCGTCTTAAAGGGCCGTGTGCACAGCTGACCAGGCCCCTCCCGAGCGGCCGGATTATTGACCTCCATGTTCGATCACAACGGCCAATTGGCAGCTGTAGGAAGTGAGAACATCCAGGGAATTGCTGGTGCTCCCATGCTCCCAACGTTGTGACGTTGTCCAACTTTTCCCTGCTTTCCAACAACAGATTTCCTTTTGAGTTTGAGGGTCTTTGTCAACCCTCATTCATTCCTTTCTTCATGCCCCCAAACCCATACAGAACACACCAAACCCTAATTTGCATCAGCATGGGATGAGGCCATTCAGCCTATTATGACTCTACCACTCCCATTGGAAGAGTTCTCCAACGTGTTGATTTCTCCAATTTCCTTTCAAAGCTACTATTGAATCTCCTTCTCACTATTTGTGTCAGATAAACACTCGCTTTCTTAAACAAAAATCTATTCATTGATGCCCCTCGTTGTTTTCTCAAACGTTTTTAACTTTTTGTTGCTACTGTAACTAATTCTCTTGTGGTTTTTTATCTTAGGGGATGGATGGTGGAGTTGGTGAAAAGGGCAGTCTTGGTGATCCTGGCCTGACGGTAGGTGTTTTGCTGAACCAAGTAGGGCTGCACACCCATCAGAAATCCCTGAGAAATTGTGTCACAATTAATTCTATGGTTTCAACTCCCTGCTTCCCCCAGAACAGCAGACAAGGATCTATGCCTACAACCATCTCCAGCTTGAGAAAGACCAGATCTCAATTACTGTTGTTACTTCATCTGGAGTATGAAATGGGAGCCATTGTGACAAAGGAAGGGAATTGTAATGTGACAGAGTTTTAAGGGTGGTGTTTGACCCTTTAATTAGCCACCTTACAAACTATTTCTTCCCTAAAACTGTGATTTGATGGGTCCCCAAAGACAAACCTAATCCCAAAATGGTTAGTTTCCACTTAGAGGCACAGAAAGTCAGACAGGACAGAAACAGACCCTTTGGTCCAACCATTTCATGCTGACCATGTTCCCAAACCAAACTAGTCCCACCCGCCTGCGTTTGGCCCACATCCCTTCAAACCTTTTCTATTCATGAATTTATCCAAATGCCTTTTAAACTTTGTAACTGTACTTGCATTCACCACACACTCTTTGTAAAAACATTGCCCCTCATGTCTTTTTGAATCTTTCTCCTCTCACCCCAGGGGAAAGACCTTTGTTATTCACCTTATCTATGCCCTTCATGATTTTATAAACCTCTATAAGGTCACCTGTCAACCTCCCAGGCTCCAGTGAAAAAAGTCCTAACCTTTCCTGTCTATTTTTATAGTCCAAAACCTCCATTCCTGGCAACACTCTGGTAAATCTTCAATGAGCCCTCTCCAGTTTAATATTATCCTTTCTATAACACGGGGACCAGAATTGCACACAGATTCTAGAAGAGGCCTTACAACCTGTACAACCTCAATATGACATCCAAACTCCTATACTCAGTGGTCTCAGCAATGAACGCAAGCGTGCTAAACACCTTTTTAGCCACCCTGTCTGTGACAAAAATTTCAAAGAATTATGTACCTGAACCCCTAGGTCTCCCTGTTCTACAACACTACCTCAGGCCCTACCATTAACTGTATAAGTCCTGCCCTTGTTTGTTTCACCAAAATGCAATACCTTGCATTTATCCAAATTAAACTCCATCTGCCACTCCTCAGCCCATTGACCCAATTGATCAGGATCTCTTTGTAATCTTAGATAACCTTCTTCACTGTCCATTAACCACCAATCTTGGTGTCATCAGCAAACTTACTAACTCTGCCTCCTATATTCGCATCCAAATCATTTACAGAAAGTTTGTAACATGAAAGCTTCCTCTCTAACAGGCCTGACTCAATAACCCTATCAAACAGGTGGCTATCTTCCTACTGAGTCTAGCTGGCATGAACTGATTTCTGTCTCTTTATAATTACCCGCTGCCATCTAAACACACTCCGAATGTGGCTTTGGCCAGCTTCCTAAACCAAGCAGTAGTTTTTAGCTCAGCGCCTCATGATAATGGAGATCACAAGCGACAGTGTGTCCAGTTTGTCTCACCCTGTCCAGCCCCGTAAACATTTTGTCAAAGCTGTCGGGAGGATGAATCTCGCTAACGTTTCTCTGTTGGGTTTTCAGGGTCCACGTGGTGCATCCGGTGAACCAGGCCCTCCTGGATCGCCTGGAAAGAGAGTGAGTATTTACACTCCCAGGAGTCAAAACTAATCTGGTAAAACTGGTGAGTGGCACACACAGCTCCAACCCCTTCAAAACAGGGCTTCAGTACAGCATCAGCTTTCATTTCTGACAGTTACTGTCTCTCCTCCGCCACTCGGTCTACAAGAAGTAAAGGCCTGTCTTTATATTGTGTCAGTTATGACCCAAAATGGTTCACTGCCAGTGAGATTCTTCTAAAGGGTTGGGAGAACAGGATCCCCACAAAGCTGGGATAAGATACTCTGCTTCGATGCTGTTTGCCAGGATTCCCAGCAGAAGTCCCCAGCTTCCTCAGTGTGACACTCCCTCAGTGCAACAGTCCCTCAGTGCGGCTGTCCCACAGTGCGACACTCCCTCAGTGCGGCACTCCCTCAGTGCGGCACTCCCTCAGTGCGACACTCCCTCAGTGCGACACTCCCTCAGTGCGACACTCCCTCAGTGCGACACTCCCTTAGTGTGACAGTGCCTCAATGTGGCATTGTCTGAGTGCCTTACTCTCCCAGTGCCTTACTCTCCCAGTGCCTTACTCTCTCAGTGTCCTCCTTTAGTTCTGTGCTCCCTGACTAGATTGGAAGTGGTTCTGAAATCACAGGATCTGGGTTTGTACCTGGACGTGCTGCAGTCTCCAGGTACCGGTTATGAGTTCTATGTTGAAATTTCCTGCAGCCAGTTTGTTTGGTGCATTTGGGAAGACAGGAAGCTGAGTATTAACGAGCTGAGTTGTCATGTTAACAAGCTGCTTAACAACCAACAATCCCCTTTAATTGGCATCTCAGCGCCGCCTAACGAGAAACCTACCTCAACAGCTGGCAAAAGGAAAAAAAGGATGGAGCAGATGCGCCTAGTGCGATGAGCCTCTCTGGTCTTGATGCTTGATTCTGCCTCAAGTTTCACCATAGCCCACATTGCTCAGAATCCTACAAGAGTTGTCCCAAATTTTTTCAACAATCTTGAACCACCAATCTTGAATGTCACAGCGTGATGCCCAGTCTGTACCCTAGGAGGGAGTGACAGTCATAGGACGGCACTCCCTCACTGCGGGACTCCCTCAGCGTAACACTCCCTCAGCACGGCAATCCCTCAATGTACTTCCTCAGTGTGACACTCCCTCAGCGCGGTACTCCCTCAATGTAACACTCCCTCAGCGCGGCACTCCCTCAGCGCGACACTCCCTCAGTGCGGCACTCCCTCAATGTACTACCTCAGTATAACACTCCCTAAGCGCGGCACTCCGTCAACACGGCAGTCCCCTCAACACGGCACTCCCCTCAATGTGACACTCCCTCAATGGATTACTGTCTCAGTGTCTTACTCCCTCAATGTGCCACTGTTTCAGTGCCTTACTCCCTCAGTGAGACACTCCCTCAGTGCAACCCTCCCTCAGTGCGGCACTCCCTCAGTGAGACACTCCCTCAGTACGGCACTTCCTCAGTGTGACACTCCCTCAGTGGGGTACTGCAAATAATCCACTGGGTGCTGTACCTTAGGAGATGTTTTCTTGCATTTTTGAGATGTCACAGAACAGCGAACCATCCTGCAAAAGGGAATAACCTTGTGGTCTCAAACTTTACTGTCACATAGAAATGAATGAAATTATGTATTGTAATATCTGAAGTTCTGATAACAGTCTCAAGGAACAAAAAAATACACATAGGGAGTGTGTTTTATCCAGTCACCCTAACTCAGTTACTCACTTGACATCCTATTTCTGAAGGGGGTAATTAATCAGTTTGTTTTAGTTTAGTCACTTTGGATGGCCCATGCAATGTTGAGAGTAGGTCTTAGGGAATCCATTGCATAATTTCTTTAATAACAAGCAGCACAGTGTTTTGTAAATTGTAATGATATTGTCACTGTGATTGAAGCTAAATGAATTTAATCAACCGTTCAGTTCTCGATGCGATTCACAGGTGACATAGTCAGGGAAAGTCTGAAAGCTGGACCATTTTCTCAAAAAGGGGTTTGGATTGGACAATAATGTGAAAACATCACAGCGAAAGCCGATTATACAAGGTTCCTGTCCCTTTTGTCTAAGAGGCTGGTAAAAACACGGGGGTTTCATTTTGTGCTGTGTAATTAACTACACTCTACACAAACACATCAGCGACTAGATTTCGCCCCCCTGCCCCGACAGGGCTGTGGTACTGCCTGTCTGTATGAACACTATCTTCACACTGTGAGTAGTCCTGTCATCTCCTGATCATTCCCATGGTGTTAGAAGCTCACTGGTTTCAAACACAGCACCTCTCTCTCTCTCTCTTACAGGGACCACCTGGACCTGCAGGCCCAGAGGGTCGAGAAGGCCTCAAGGGTTCAAAGGTATGACTGTTTTGTTTTTCATAAAAATAAAGATGAGAAGGACTGAACTTTTACAACAAGTCAAAATGTCCACTAAACAGCGATTGTGAAATTTTCCAGACATCATTTCCCTCTGAATTTCCTCAGGGAATGGTTCATTTTCTCTGAGCCTGCCTTACCTGTATTTGAACTTGGAGAGTGAGTGTCAGAGGGCTATTTGACTTTGGGGTGCATTACTGATAAATGAAACCTGTCCTCACCTTAAGGCTATTGGTTCCCATTTTCCAGTCACAGTTGGAAGAGGCAACATGAGTGTCTTATCCATGAGATACAGAGGGTCAATGGAGAGCCAAAGGGTGTTATCTCCCTGGACTTCCAGAAGGCTTTTGACAAAGTGCCGCACAGGAAGCTGCTGAGTAAGATAAGGGCCCATGATGTTAGAGGCAAGGTGCTAGCATGGATAGAAGATTGGCTGTTTGGCAGAAAGCAGAGAGTGGGGGTAAAGGGGTCTTTCTCAGGATGGCAGCCAGTGACTAATGGAGTTCTGCAAGGGTCAGCGCTGGGACCACAACTTTTCACTTTATACATTAATGATCTAGATGAAGGAACTGAGGGCGTTCTGGCTACGTTTTCAGACGATACAAAGATAGGTGGAGGGACAGGTAGCATTGAGGAGGTGAGGAGGCTGCAGAAGGATTTAGACAGGTTAGGAGAGTTGGCAAAGAAGTATCAGATGGAGTACAACATGGGAAAGTGGGATGTCATGCACTTTGGTAAGAAGAATAGAAGCATAGATTATTTTATAAATGGGGAGAAGATTCAGAAATCTGAAGTGCAAAGGGAGTTGGGAGTCCTAGTCCAGGATTCTGCTAGGGTTAACTTGCAGGTTGAGTCAGTAGTTAGGAAGGCAAATGCAGTGTTGGCATTTATTTCGAGAGGGCTAGAATATAAAAACAGGGATGTGCTACTGAGGCTTTATAAGGTTCTGGTCAGGCCACATTTAGAGCATTGTGAGCAATTTTGGGCCCCATACCTCAGGAAGGATGTACTGGCCCTGGAGTGGTTTCAGAGAAGGTTCATGAGAATGGTCCCAGGAATGAAACGCTTAACATAGAAACATTTGAGGACTCTGGGGCTATACTCAATGGAGTTTAGAAGGCTAAGGGGGGAATCTAATTGAAACTCACAGAATACTGAAAGGCCTGGATAGAGTGGACGTTGGGAAGATGTTTCCATTGACAAGAGATACTGGGACTCGAGGACACAACAGAAGGTTGTGCGCACAGCCCAAACCATCACGGAAGCCAATTTTCCATCCATGGACTCCATTTACATGGCTCACTGCTGCGGAAAGGCGGCCAACATCATCAAAGACCCATCACACCCTGGTAATGATCTCCTATAACCTCTTCCATCAGGCTGAAGTACAGAAGCCTGAACACACGCACCAGCAGGTTGAGGAACAGCTTCTTCCCAGCTGTTATTAGACTGATGAATGGACTCTGTAGCCTCAAATAAACACTGATCTTGCTAACGTTGATCTTATCTAGCACACGCCCTGTGCAATGTATCTCGTATGCCTCTATCTAAGTCTTTCTGATCTGTACATGCTTGCTTACTATGATCTGCCTGTCCTGCTTGGAAACAAAGCTTTTCACTGTACTCCAGCACATGTGACAATAAATCAATCAATAAATCAATCACAACCTTAGAGTAAAGGGACGACCCTTTAGAATGTAGATTAGGAGAAACTTCTTCAGCCAGAGAGAGTGGTAAATCTATGGAATTCACTGCCACAGAAGGAGGCTGTGGAGGCCAGGTCATTGAGTACATTTAAGACGGAGATGGTTAGGTTCTTGATTGTCAAGGGGATCAAGGGTTACAGAGAGGTGGGAGAATGGGGTTGAGAGACCTATCAGCCACGATCAAATGGCGAGTAGATTCGATGGGCCAAATGGCCCAGTTTCTGCTCCTATGTTTTATGGTCTTATGGGTCCCTGATTTACAAATGCAAAATGTTACAGGGGTGTAATTTCAATTATCTGACATATAAAAGATGGCTGCACCAGCACGGTACGTAGTGTGTAACTACTGAGCCCATTCGCTTCAGGCCACCCAAATCCTTCTCTCTCTCCTTTCTCTTCTTTTGTCTTCTCTTTCTTTCTTGTCTTCATCTCCCTAACGTCACGGGGAGGTTGTAGAGGCGCCCGGACTGGGGACCCCCTGGCTTCTGTAGGCCCGCAGCCTGGACTGTTGGCGGTGGCGGTGAGACATTGTCTGCAGCAGGGTCTCCTGGCTTTGGTAGGCCCGGAGCAGGGAATTTTAGAGGTGGTGATGGGTCGTGTCTGCTCCAGTGTCAGTGACGGCGTGGGAATTCCTGACTTTGTAGTCCCGGAGCAGGGACACTTGGCAGTTGACTGCGAGACAGCACGGCATGAGGAACTGAGGTCTCCCTAGATATATGTGGCAATAGAATCATTCATTCATTCATTCATTCATTCATGTCCTGCTCTTGCTCACGCCTGGTTTACGTTGTGAAACTGACTGATGTACAAATCAACTCAGGAATGGAACCCATTTGCGACCCTGGGACCGCCTGTATATGGGAAGGAGTTTGAAAGATGGAAATTATCTTCAGCACAATGTCGGACCTTGGCCCTTGGGAACAGGCGTAGATCATTCAGTAAGATCCTGGCTAACCTGGTTGTGGCTTAAACTCGAATCTTCTCTCCGATCCCCATCACCCACGTCTCCTGTGTCTATCAAGAGCTTAGCTTTGAATATATTCATGGATCTGCTCTCTCTGCTCTCCAGGGATGTGAATCCCACAGTCCAACGATCCTCTGTGAGAAATAAAAAAACACAATTCTCTTCACTTCAGTCTCAAAAGCAAGGCCTGTCATTCTTAAACATACTCCTGCACTTGTCATTCCTACAGGGGGAAACATCCTCTCAGAATCCATTCTGCCAAGTCCCCTCAGGACCATGTGTACACTAATTGGGAAGGGGGTTTGTTATCAGAACTGGATACAGTGAAAAATTCAGCTTAATTAGAAATGTCTCTCAAATTGCAATCTCAAAATTGGCAGATGTTGGTTTCTAAAATGTTGACGATTTACATAGTACATACAAAACACACATAAAGCTGTGTCAATATTCCCTGCATGCTTCATGAGCATTGCATATAATTTGATTGTGATTGGCGGTGAATTGTGATCAATGGCGAAAGCTGCTAAAACCAATTTTGAATTCTCCACTCAGTCGTGTCTCTGGGGGGATATGACAGACTGTACTTAATTCTGCATTTAAAATGTCATTTTGTTTCAAGAGATATTTTCACAATGCTCGAATTCTCCAAAAAAAATAGGCTCATTCCCAACTTGTGGGCATCATTGGCTGGGCCAGCATTTATTGCCTGTCCCTAATTGCCCCGGAGAAGGTGGTGGTGAGCTGTCTGTTTGAATTGCTGAAGTTTTGAATGCATTAGGGACACCTGTGATGCTGTTAACAGGGGAGTGCCGAGACTTTAAGCCAGCGACAATGAAGGAATGGTGATATATTTCCACGTCAAGACGATGAGTGGCTTGGAGGGGAACTTGCAAGGGGTGGTGTTTCCATGTTTCTGCTGCCCTTATCCTTCCGGATGGAAGGTGTCTGTTGTCTCTCAATATTCCAAATGTAGTTAGACCAGAGCCTTAAACAGCTTCAGCAGTACATCTCTGCTCTTGTATTCTAGCCCTCTTAAAATTAATGTTAACTTTAAGGTTGCATTTGCCTTCCTAACTGCCAACTGAACCTGCAAGTTAACCTTAAAAAAACTGTCCTGAACTAGGACTCCCAACACACTTTGTGCTTCACATTTCCCAAACCTTACCCCATTTAGAAAATAGTCTACATCTTTATTCTTCCTACCAAATTGCATAACCTTACATTTTCGCACATTGTATTCCATCTATCAGGTGTTTGGAAGGGCAGACCAGTTGGCTTAAGAGAAAAGGCTCTTAACTTAATCATGTTGTGGAATTAAACATTTGCCTGTTAGGATACACTCCTTATAACCACAATATCACAGGTATTAACCAAATGACTCCACGTGGCCTTGTTTATTTTTCACACAGGGTTCTCCAGGACAGGAAGGCCCAGTAGGCAGGACCGGGCCTATAGGCCCACAAGGGTCACCAGGCAACGTTGGACCAAAAGGTCTCAGAGGGATACCTGGCCCTACAGTAAGTGAAGATGCAAAGAGAATGTGATCACTGCCATTACAAACTGCTGCATATATTAACAGATAATCCCTCGCAATGTCTTTTCTTCTTCAACAGGGAGAACAAGGCCTCCTCGGACCCCCTGGCCAGGCCGGTCCCCCAGGACCAATGGTAAGATGGGAACAGCCCCTTGAATCTGATCTGCCATTCAGTGTTACCATGGCTGGTCTGTACCAGACTCCCATCTGCTTGCCTGTACTCCATGCATTGTAAGCGAGCAAAGCTCTAGCAGTCTCTCAATTCAAGCTATTACCGCTGAAAGGAGAGAGGTGTTGCCAAAACTTTTCATCTTGCTCTCATCATCAGGACATTTCACAAGAATACCATCTTTCAAACCATTTAAATTTAAAGGATAAGAGGAACAGGCAGTTAAATTGTTAAGTGGTTATCTACTGCCTTTTTTTCATAGAAACATAGCAAATAGGAGGAGGCCATTGGGCCCACTGAGCCTGCTCTCCATTCAATAGGATCATGGTTGATCATCCAATTCAGTACCCTGTTCCTGCTATCTCCCCCAAACCCTTTTATCCCTTTAGCCCTAAGAACTATATCTAATTCCTCCTTGAATACATTCAATGTTTTGGCTTCAACTACTTCTGCAGCAGTGAATTCCACAGGCTCCCCACTCCTTGGGTGAAGACATTTCTCATCATCTCAGTCCTAAATAGCCCACCCTGTATCCTTAGACTGTGACCCCCTGGTTCTGGACTCCCTGGTCATCGGGAACGTCCTTCCTGTGTTTTACCCTGTTTAGTCCTGTTAGAATTTTATAGATTTCTATGAGATTACCCCCACCTCATTTTTCAGAACTCCAGTGAATACAACCCTAACTGATTCAGTCTCCCTTCATACGTCAGTCCTGCCATCCCAGGAATCAAACCTTCACCACAGCCCCTCCGCAATCAGAACATCCTTCCTCAGATAAGGTGACGGAAACTGCTCACAATATTCCAAATGAAGTCTGACCAGACCCTTAAACAGCCTCAGCAGTACATCTCTGCTGTTGTATTCTAGGTCTCTTGAAATGAATACCAACATTGCATTTGCCTTCCTAACTGCCAACTGAACCTGTTTGTTAGCCTTAAGAGAATCCTGAACTAGGACTCCAAAGTCTTTTTGCATTTCAGATTTCCGAAGCCTTTCCCTGCTTAGAAAATAGTCTACACCTCTATTCTTCTGACCAAAGTGCATAACCTCACACTTTTCCTCATTTTATTCCATCTGCCACTTATTTGCTCATTCTCCTAGCCTGTCCAAATCTTTCTGCAGCTTCCCTGCATCCTCAACACTGCTGTTCTCTCTACCTAGCATTGTGTCATCTACAAACTTAGCTAAAATGCCCTCAGTTCCTTTATTCAGATCGTTAATGTATCAAATGAAAAGTTGTGGTCCCAACACTGAACCCGGCAGGACTCCACTAGTCACTGGCTGCTATCCTGAAAAAGAATCCCTTGTCCCCGCTCCCTGCCTTTTGTCAGTCAGCAAATTGTCTATCCATGCCAATACCCTGCCCCTAACACTGTGGGCTGTTAGTTTATTTAATAGCCTCCTGTGCCCTGACCTTCTGGAAATTCAAAATAGATCATATCCACAGTCTCTCCTTTGTCTAATTTGCTTGTTACCTCCTCAACGAATTCTAACAGATTTGTCAGGCATGACAAAGCATGCGGACTCAGCCCTGTTTTACCATGTACTTCCAAGTCCTCCATAATCTCGTCTTTAGTAATGGACTCTAAAACCTCACCAATAACTGAGGTCAGGCTAACCAGCCTATAGATTCCTGTCATCTGCCTCCCTCCCTTCTCAAACAGGGGTGTTACATTAGCCATTTTCTAGTCCTCTGGGACCCTCTCTGACTCCAATGATTCCTGAAAGATCACCACCAATGCCTCTACAATCTCCTTGGCTATCTCCTTCAGAACTCTGGGGTGTAGTCCAACTGGTCCAGGTGACTTATCCACCTTCAGACCTTTCCTCTTCCCAAGCACCTTCTCCTTAGTCATGGCCTCTATAATCACCTCAGCTCCCTGACCCTCTTGAAGTTCTGGTATGCTTCTGGTGTCTTCCACCATGAAAATTGATGCAAAGTACCTATTCAGTTCCTCTACCATTTCCTTGTTCTCCATTACTACATCTCCAGCCTCATTTTCCAGCTGTCCAATGTCTACTCTTGTCCCTCTCTTACCTTTTATGTTTCTAAATGAAACTCTTACAATTTTCTTTTATTCTACGAGCTAGCTTACTTTCATATTTTATCTTCTCTCCCGTGAGTGTGTGTGTGTGTGTGTGAGAGTGTGTGTGTGTGCGCACACGTGTGTTTGTGAGACAGTGTGTGTGTGTGCATGTCTGAGCGCGTGTGTGCATGAGGGTCTGTGCACATTTATGTGTGTGTGTGTCTGTGCGTGTTTGTGTGTGTGTCTGTGCACATGTGTGTGTGTTTATTTGTGTGTTTCTGTGCATGTACATGTGTGTGTGAGAGAAAGACAGAGTGTGTGTGTGTGTCTGAGTGTGCGTCTGTGTGTGCGCGCATGTGTGTATGTGAGAGAGAGAGTGTGTGTGTGTGTGTGTTTCTGTGTGCATGCGTGTGTGTGTATGTATGCCAGACAGTGTGTGTGTGAGTGTGTGCATGTTTGTGTGTGTGTGAAGGTGTGTGTCCGTGCGTGCGTGTCTATGCATGTGTGTGTCTGTGCGTGCGTGTGTGAGAGAGTGCGTGTGTGTGTGACAGAGAGAGAGAGAGTGTGCCTGAGTGGTGTCTGTGTGTGTCTGTGTGTGTGTGTGTGTGTGTGTGTGTCTGTGTGTGTGAGAGAGAGAGTTGCTTGCCTTGAACTGTTTAACTCTCTGTTTGCTTCCATTGCTTAGGGTCCTCCTGGTATGCCTGGTCTCCGGGGTGCTCAAGGGTTAAAAGGTGACAAGGTGGGTAAATCTCACTTGGAGAGATGCTGTACTAGTGAAGGATTGCTGCCCGGGTAGTTTAGTCATCACACTGGACTGTAGAATCAAATTCCCATTTACCCCAGCTTCATTGAATGACCTTCGGTGACGATATGATACACACACGGGCCTGACTTTTACAGTACCCCCCCTGCAACTGGGGTTTTTGGCCTGGGGGTGAGCAGCATGTAAGATTGTTGAATGGCTATCAAATCTCTATCCTGCTTGGCCCAGCCCTGCAACCTCCTCCCCATGATGTTGAGGCACACTAGCCTGGATGATAATACTCAGGCGTCTTGAGGGTCCTAAGTGGCTAATTGTTGCCCCTGTTCAGCCCCTCAAGCCCCCTCCACTGAGCAGGGGCAGGCGGGCAGGAATGTGAAGGCTGCTCTCTTAGCAAGTGGGAGGCATAACATTCACTTTGGGGACCCCTCCCCTTTGCCCTCCTCCTCTTTGTTCCTCCCCATCTGGTCTCCAAATCCCACTTCCTCAACTCTCTTTGATCCCCTTCCTTTCTGCTTGAAAAGCCTGGAACTTGGCTGGGTCCAGATCCTGCTGAGGATCTCCCTGGATCTCCTGTTGACCCACTGCTGAGCTCTGATGCTGCTCGAGCCACTGAGAGATGGGACCTGATCATCTACAGTCAATGAGTTTGGAAGAGATCATGAGCATGCCATCACCCTCCCTAGTCTGTAAAATCCAGCCCAGACATTTACAAATGTACACATACACCCACACACACAAATACATGCACACAACACCACATACACACACTTATTCGCAAAAACACATACACTCATACATATACACACATGTGTACTTGTACCCACACACAAAATGGATACACACGTATATGTACAAAAACACAAATAGCAATACATAAACACACATGCGCACATACAACCACATGCAAAAGCATACACACAATTAAATGCACTTGCACATGCACACACCCACGCACACATGCACACTTACAATCAAACTCTCTCTCACTCACATAGATGTACAAATACAAAAACACACACACACACACACACACACACACACACACACACAGTTCATAGAACACAGAACAGTACAGCACAGCCCACAATGTTGTGCCGACCTATTATCCTATTCATCAATTCATTGGTGATCACCAAAGGACTTCTACAGTAACTGAAATAACTTGTAAGATTGTTCCAAAGGGACCCACACTCTACCCTTTTAGTTTTGAGTGACAGTTGTTCTTTCGTACTATATCATGTGATGGAACTCTGACTTGCCATAACTCCGAGTGAAAGGCTCTGAAAGCTGCAGTGGGCTGGATAGCCAGCCCTTCAGAGAATCAGTCTGGTGATTGAACAGGGTCAAATGGGAGACCCACTGAACTCCGAGCATTTCGGATGGTGACTGATGCATCAGCAACATTCTCACTCTCATGTTGTTCTTCCCTGTTTGACTTTTCTAGGGGCACGTTGGATTAATTGGGTTAATCGGACCTCCTGGTGAGATGGGTGAGAAGGGAGATCAAGGTCTCCCAGGAATCCAAGGGATACAAGGCACCAAGGGGGATGTGGTGAGCACAAGCAGTGCACAGTGATTACAATTTACAATTCAGACCTAAAACTTTTATCTTCCAGGTAGTGTCTCTGATATTGTTGGGAGTGAAAGCCAGTGATGCTTGCTGCTTCTGGAGGGTGTTACATTCTGGGAGAGACCAGTAACTATACTTTTCAGAAAGAAAATATCAAGATCTCGATTGTTTAGTGAAAGAATTCATAGGTTTCCACAATTTAGAACAGAAAAAGTTTAACTTTACAACAGTCAAACATGCATACACCAAATATTATCTCAATCTTCTTTACGCTAAAACCCAGACTCCACATAAGTTAAAAAAATGAATTGACAGGCAAATTGCAGTCAGTTGCAAACTATAGAACAAATATTAAATGGCAGGTACAACTAAGACTGACCTTATGAAATGGTTCAACAATTCGCTCAGCGTATATATCATCAGTCACAGTCATGAGATCTGTCTTCCTCATAAAGAATTTCAGCTCCTCTCCTAGGATATAGCCTAAGTCCCAACTGATAGAAGCAACTAACCAACCCAAATTCCATAGGACAATCAGAACTGGGAATACCGCACAACCACAGAGCCTCCTGCACTCTGACTATGATGCTTTGAATGGTTTTAATCCATCCATTATCTTCAAATAATGGAAACAGCTACAGCAACCACATCTTTGCTTCTTCACAGCTTCAGGTTTCAGCCTTTGTCCTCATCAGTCTGCTTGTACTGCCCCACTGGACTCACCATCTACATCTGAGCTGGGATAGTGCACTGTCCTCTTTATACATTACAGCACATTTCAGACTCCCCCAGAAGTTTTGGTCTCTGAAATAACTGCACAGAGGCCAGTATCCCATCACCAAGTCACCCTTTATTTACATGAGCACAGTACACTGGCTATGCCCCTGAAGTGAGGAGACTCTAAATCCCCTGTTTATATCTGTCAGCCAAGGCTTCCTGATTGACCCAAGTTAACAGCCCCAATCAAGGATCTTGTAGTTCCAATCACTACAGTTTCTAATCTCAGTTGCAGTCCTCATTTCTGAAGGAATCTTGAAGGATTACCTTTTCTTAGTTTCCCTTTTTCCGTTCTTCTTTTCCCCTTTTCCTTTTACAATTAGGATCCATTTGAAAAATAAAATGCGAGCTTTGAAACCACAGGTTCCATAGCCAGGGCTTAATGAAAAGGTGGACCTAATTGGATGCCAGTCCAGTTGAGGGTAATGATCTATGTTTGAACACCAGTTCTCCTTTGCTCACTGCTACTTTTGGAGAGTGTAGTATATGCTTTATGAGCTTTCTGATCTTACAGGCAACCTAGTCAATATGTTCTCCTCAGGCAGAGTATCTAATTTATGTTTCAAAAGCATAAGAGTCAAACAGTTCAGCTTCCTCAATGAGTGCAGTAACTTTCCAAAATGTTTATAAGTCTCGCTGTCACCTCTCAGTTTATCTTTATATGTATCTATAAGCTGTCCCATAGATGATACTATCTCAGCTTGTGATTAGGTTCATAACTTAATCTTCTCTTCTCTTTTTTCCCGGTTTCAGGGTCTTCAAGGTTTGAGTGGTCCAATAGGCCCGCATGGATCTCCTGGTTTACCAGTAAGTAGACAAACTATAGTTTCTATAAGAATGCTGATCCACCAAATTTGCACTCTGGTCCTTCTGCTGTCTACTCGCCAGCTTTCTGCTCTTGCCTCGGAACTCAGGCAGGGAGGCAGTGACATGGCGGTAATGTCGCTGCGCCCAGAATCCAGGAACCCGATGTTCTGGAGATATCGACTCAAATCTGACCGTAGCAGGTGGTGGAATTTGAATTCCATAAAAGCTTAGCCAAATGGTCACCATGTGATACAGCTGTAAAAGCCCAGCTGGTTCACTAGTTCCCCTTTGGGGAAGAGAATCTGCCATCCTTACCTGCTGCGGCCCACATATGACTCTTTTCTCTAACAACCTCTGAGCACTTAGAGATGGGCAATGATTGAAACAAGATAGCTGCCAACATCCCATGAACAATAACTTGTTTCGATGATACATAGACAGCATGGGACTATTCTGAAACATTGACTTTCCTGATGAATTGTTGACTAAAACTGTCATATTCCCCTCTCCCTGTTCTTTTTGATTTAGGGTCAACAGGGTTCAAAAGGATCGAAAGGTTCTGAAGTAAGTAGCTTGATTGATTATTTTATTGGGGTCCATGATGGATAAATTTGGGCAGCATCAACTTCGGGTCCTTGAACTGACCATCATGTGCTCTCACTTTTTTTCCTTTGCAGGGACCAGTGGGATTCAAAGGCGACCCAGGACCCCCTGGCCCTCCAGGTCCACCTGTAAGCTTTGTTTCTTGTCGAGGGGTGGAAGTGAGGGAGGGCAGGGGGCACGTGGAGATCAGGGAACGGGCAGTGGGAGAGAGAGCTGTGGGAGGTACCGGGAGAATGGATGGAACTGGCATCGCCACCTGAAGGCTTCACCTGGACGTAGACCTTTCTGGCAGGCAATAGAGGGTGTACAGCACAGAAAAGGCCCTTTAGCCCATTGAGTTTGCACGGACCACCTCACTCTTCTAATCCCATTCCCAGCAAATTGTCCAGAAAGCGTAAAAGGATTTTAAAGTTCACCTATTTTTATCCATTTGGACATGAGATGCCTATTCTATGTTTTTCTTCACCAACTGGCTATAACACCAGGGCAGTCTTCTGAGTCCATCACATCCCTGAGGTGGCACTTGAACCCAGGACTCCTGGTCCAGAGGTAGGGACACTGCCACCACACCACAAGATCCAGTCGACAGATTATACTTCCAATAATTAAGTATTTTCTCGCAGGATAACAAAAAGGCCACAATGAACTCCTTGTTACTCCTGGGAAATCTTCAAAGATCATTGAATTACTTACAGTTTTACCTTTCTGACTTGGAAATATATCACTGTTCCTTTGGTGTCACTGGGTCAAAATCCTGGAATTGCCTCCCTAAGGGCATCATGGGATCTACTTATAGCACATGGACTGCAGCGGTTCACCACCCCCTTCTCAGGGGCAACTAAGGATGGGCAATCAATGCTAGATGCCCACATCCCGTGAATGATTATAAAACCATCTCACCATTATCCAATTAGTCACCAGTTGTGAAGACTTTCATTGCCGAGACTATTCACGTGGATCTTTTCTGTGCCCTCTCTAATAGACAGTCTTAGAGTTTTTACAGCCCATTGTGTCCACGCCGGCCATCAAACATCAATCTATTTGAATCCCATTTTCCTGCACTTCACCAGTCACCTTGTATGGCATTTTAAGATGCCTTTCCATCCCAAAGGTGTGGTTCCCGAAATTAGACATGGCCATTCTAGTGGTTTATAGAGGTTCAATGTAACCTTCCTTGCTTTTGTACCTTTGTCCTCCATTTATAAAGCCCATATTACCTTATCAACGGCTTTCTCAACCTGTCATAGAGTAGCATACAACCCTACAGTGTGCAAGCAGGCTCTTCGGCCCACTGGGTTCACACAAACCCTCTGAGGAGCAGCAGATGATCTGGTCATCAATTTTTCTGTTTGTGGGAGCTTGCATTGTGTACTTTGCCAGTTGTGCCTCTTACATCACAATAGTGACTGCTTTGAAGAATTCACGGATGTCATAGAATCACACAACATAGAATCACAACCTTTGGTCCAACTCATCCATGCTGACCAGGTTTCCCAAACTAAACAAATCCCATTTGCCTGTGTTTGGCCCATATCCCTCTAAACCTTTCCTATCCATGTACCTGTCCAAATGTTTTTTGAATGTTATAACTGTACCCACCCAGACCCACCCCTACCCTATCCCAATAACCCCACATTCCTCATGGCTAACCTACCTAACCTGCACATCATGGATAATTTCCTATGGCCAGTCCACTCTGAACTGCACATCTTTGGATCGTGGGAGGAAACCAAAGCACCCGGAGGAAACCTACACAGACATGGGGAGAATGTGCAAACTCCACACAGACAGGCACCCAAGGTTGGAAACTAACCCAGGTTCTTGGCACTGTGAGGCAGCAGTCCTAGCCACTATTCTACCCATCCTGCCACCTTCAGTGCTTTGTGCATGAATAACCCCATTGCCCGCTGCTCCCTCACCTCATTCAGAATTATATCCATTTTTTGTATCCTGCCTCTCCTCACTCTTCGGACAAAATGTATCACTACCTACTTCTCTGCCTTCAATATCGTCTGTCACGTGTTTCTGTACTGACCAGGGTCCACCAGCAGAGATAATACAGCCACTGCCGATATACAGGTCAAAGACAAGAAGGCACGCGGAGACTGAGCAAGCTGACGATGCCGGTAGGAGTCTCTTTGACTACACAGAAGGAATGGAGGAGGTGTTTGGAGCCCTATCTTCACTGAAAGATGAGGTGGAGCTGATGAGGCGTCCAGTGGGGACTCAGAGTAACCCCGGCCGAACCTGCAAGGAGCTTCAGCTCTGTCACCCACACTTCAAGGATGGTAAGTTAGTGGGAACAAAACTCTACGATATGCGAAGCTCTTTGTTTCTGTGACAATGCTGTGGCTTGAAGAGGTTATTTTTATTCTTTTTTTTTTCTTGAAAGAGGTCATAAGGCAGAGGCGCGAGCAGTCTACAGCCAGTGAATAGCTTGTGAGCCCTTGGGTTGCTATTTTAAAAGTTGGAACAATAAAAGCAGCCTGGCTGGGTGTGGCCAGCTCTCACAGACCAGGATTTCTTGTTTTAATTTTTAGTTTTTACGTTTAGCTTTCAGCAGTTGCTGTTGTGGGCTTGAAGAAGTGAAAGCTATTCTTCCCCTCTGTCAATTACAGCCAAAGTTGTGTGTTCTCTTCCTAGGCTGCTAGGTTGCGTGTGAGACAAAATCTGTTTTTCTAAACTTGCTTTTCGCCAAGAGGTGTGTTTATTGGGTGTTACTATACCCTAATGCACTTTGTATGGTATGATCTGCCTGGACTGCACGTAAAACAAAACTTTTCACTGTACCTAGATACATGGCAATAACAAATTAAAAAAAAACAGTAAATTAGTAATAGCTACTGTATCTATTATTCTATTAACTTTTCCAATAGAGTTAAGTTATTCTAAATTCCTCTTTCTTTGGTTGTATTTTAAATACAGTGTTTAAATTAATTGTTTTTGCTTAGCGTCGAGTATTTTGACCATCGCATTGTATCTGGAACAGGGCACTTTACATTTGCCTTAAATATAAGAAAAAAGTTAGGGTCGAGGCTACCTTTTTAAAATATTTTGAGGGAGTCTGGTCTGGTCCGTAACATTTCAGATTGTGCCCCCGCCTTGAGTCCGCTCCATGTGTGATGAGAGACAGGGCTCCCAGCAGTAAACCCTTCATTGAACATCACTGTCAAAACAGACATGACATCAAAACCTTACACCTCACACTCATCAGGACACAACCAAGAATTCCACATTTCAAAGGGAACAACAATTTACACACATTTTGAAATTTAGTATTCTTGCATGTGTCCTGATGAGTGCAGGATTAAAGGCTATCTCTTCCCTTCAATAGTACTCAGTTTCTGTGTTAGTAAGCAACTAAACCTGTTCCCCCAATCAAACCCCCGTCCTGTTTCATGTTGTCTCTGATACCTTTCCCAAAAATATTGGGAATATCCAGCAGCAGCTTCTGATATTGCAATCACTAGGGGGTTGAGCTGAGGAAGTGACGGTCAGCAGGTCATGTGGCATTCTCACAGCTGGCACATAACTAATATGCCATCAGGCCACATGGACAAAGTAAACAACTGGTCGATCAGTGACCTGCAAAACATGCTATAGCTTCCAACAAACAAATCAATGCGTTATTGAAGCCTCCTATGCTGCAGAAAAGCCTGGTGCTGTGAAATCATTAACCTGAAATAACTCTTATCAGGCCATACCCAATCATCAATCACCCTTTATTCACAAATGCATAGGCTTTGACTGTACCCCTGAGTCAGGCATTACAGGAGCTCAATATCCCAAACACTCACCCTTTTTATGACAACCAGGGCTCCCAGATTGAACCAGGTTAACAGCCCCAATTAGGGAGCTCATATTGTATGAGGCTCAGTTGGCCGACCACTTTACAATCTGTACAAAACCATTAAGCCATAGAAGAAAGCCGTTCTGCCTATCAGGTGTGCAGTAGCTCTTTCAGGAAGCAACCAGTAAGCCCTTTTCCAATTCTCTTTCTCCACACCCCTGAATGTTTCATCCAAATACTGTAACCAATTCCACACAAAAACAACTGCAGACTCGGTTTTCTCCAGGCAGCACCTCCCCAGATCATTTTTTTTTAAAATTTGTTATTGCCATGTATCTAGGTACAGTGAAAAGTTTTGTTTTACGTGCAGTCCAGGCAGATCATACCATACAAAGTGCATTAGGGTAATAGAACAGTGTGAGGAACACAATTACGGCTGCAGTGAAGGTGCACCGAGGGTGAGATCAACATTAGATTTGAAATTTGAGGGGTCCATTCAGAAGTCTAATAACAACGGGGAAGAAGCACAGATGTTGGTGCCTGTGATTAAGCTTTTGTATCTTCTGCCTGACAGAAGAGATTGGAAGAGGTTATAGCCAGAGTGGGAGAGGTCTTTGATGATGTTGGCTCCCTTCCTGAGTGAGCAAGAAGTATAGATGGAGTCAATGGATGGGAGGTTGGTTTGCATGATTCACAGGGCTGTGTTCACAACTCTCTGTAGTTTCTTACGATCCTGGTCAGAGCAGTTGCCGTACCAAGCTGTGATACATTCTGATGAAATGCTTTCTAGGGTGGGTCTATAAAATTTGGTAAGATCTTTATGGCCTCAGCCTCTTGAGGAAGTAGAGACGTTGTTGTGCTTTCTTGACTGTGACATCAACGTGGGTGGACCAGGACAGATTGGTGATGACCATCACTCCCAGGAACTTGATGCTGTTGACCATCTCCACCTCAGCACCATTGATGCAGACAGGGTTGTGCCCACCACCCCACTTCCTGAAGTCAATAAGATCCTAAACAGTTACTGTGTAAACAATGGTTTTTCCTTATTTTCACCTCTGTGGCTCTTTTTCCAATTACTTTAAACCTGTTCTCCAAACCGGTACCCTCTGGCTAATAACCCTCAGCCTTCTTAGGCAAGTTCCCCTTTATTTCTTTTATCTAAACTCTTCAGGATTTTAATCTCCTCTCTCACGACCCCTCTGAGCTCTCTTGATGGTAAACAACCTTGATTTCAGTCCATTGATGTAACTCGAATATTTGGGCTTTGAAAACATTGCGGGATGTATTATTTTCCCATTGTACAACTTTCTAAGCTATCTGCTTGTTGGTCTATCTGACTGACACATTGGCTGCATCGATCGGAAATACACTTTGCTCCTTTGTCTTTGATCCTAGCCTCATAGGACCTTATAAAAAGACACAAAAAAAGTGTTCATCTACCTCAAAGGATGTTGTGCTTGAGTTGTCACGGTTACTTGAGAGTGTTTATGCCTCTGGGTTTAGTGCCTGTCACCAGAACTTGGTAACATACCAACCCCGACACTATCAGTCAAATTATTGTTCCCTTGAAATGTTCTCACTTGCTAATTCATTTGTGAAGTTATAATAAGTGGTTGAGATCAAACAGTTCTCCTCTACACCCGTTCAGTGAATTTATTAATCATTCCCAACAAAGCTGCTGAATAAATTGTAACTTATTGTAATATTTATAAGATTGTAATATTAAAAGGGGGAGTTGGGTAAGTGCTTAGCGGGAAAGATTGAAAGGCTTTGAGGAGAGAGTGGGATGAATGCGGCAGGGGAAGGGAGGCATTGGGGGAAAGAAGAAGGTAGGGAATAGTGGAGGGAGTGATGGAGGGGGAGGGAGAGCTGGTGAAGGCGGAGCTAGTACAAACGTAGAGTTGAGGCCTAGCACAGGTCAATCATGATCTTGTGGAATGGTAGGTCAGGCTTAAGGAACAGAATGGCCTCATCCTGCTCCTGTTTCTTATGTTCTTATGTCCGGAACAACATCCCGTCACTCTGCCTATGAGTTAATGGTTAAGTGATGGAATACTCCCCACTTGCCTGGGTGGATGCAGCCCCAACAATACTCAGGGAGCTCGACATCATGTAGGACAAAGCAGCCCCCGCTTGATAAGCACCACATCCATAAGCATCCACTCCCTCCACCATTTCAGTAACAGCAATGTGAGCTATCTACAAGCTGCACTGTAACAACTCACCCAGTGCTCCTCAGACAGCACCTTCCAAACCAATGACCACTTCCATCTGGAAGGACAAGGGCAGCTGATACATGGGAACACCAGCCCCCTGCAAGTTCCCCTCCGAGCCCCTCACCATCCTGACTTGGAAATATATTGCTGTTCCTGCAGTGTCATTGAGTCAAAATCCTAGAAGTCCCTCACTTAGGGCACTGAGGGTCTACCTACAGCAGTCCAAGATGGCAGCTCACCACCACTTTCTCAAGGGCAACTAGGGATGGACAGTGAATACTGACTCAGCCAGTGATTCCCACATCCCATGACATAGTTTAAAAAATTAGAGCAGAGGCAAGGCGAGGTTTATAATTGGGCACTTAACATCTAATTACCGGCCCCACTGGGCCCTGGGAAAGTGCCTTCTAAAAACACCACTCCACCCAGGGGCCTATTGGTGGCCTCAAGAATGCAACAGCCGAATCTTCAGGTCCACCCACCTGATATCACACCCACAGGTGACCTGTGACATTCGGCTTATCATGTTGAATTCGTACCACCCCTCAGAGGTGAAGGGTGTTTGAGTCAGATGGCCTGTGTTGGAAATGCCAGGCAATGCTCTCGGAATCAAACAATTCAAAAGGACAACCTGCATTGTTTGAAATCACGAGCAAGGCTGGCGTAAGCCGTTTGACTTTTACACTTTATTGTTAAAAGCTAGCTGCAATAAATTGCTGTTAAAATACCATTTTTTTTTAGTGCCTGAGAGCAGGGTATGGCTGTCCTCATCTGAAGGGAAATCAAGCTGTCTGGGAGAAAGATGTGTACTTGTAGAGTCAGAAACAGTCCAAAACACTTGACATGCAAGGAATGATTGGAATGCAGTCCATCTGAATTTGGTAAATGCATTACAGCAAGATCCCACAAATGGAGTAGGTTAGAATGATCTGTTGCAGGTGGTGTTTCTTGAACATTCCCATTCCTTATTGATCAACAAAAATCTCCCGAACCAACACTTAATTTAACGTCTTTCCTGAAAGATAGCACCTCCCACAGCTCGTAGGTGACTGAATGCTCAGCAAAAAAGCAGTTAGCTTGTCGAGGCAACTTAGATCAAATTAAAAATATTAAAATTGAGAAATAAGCTAAATCAGACTCTAAAATAAAAGTAGAATTCTGGAAATCTGAGAAATAAACACAGCAGGTCTGGTAGCACCTGTGGAGTGAGAAATGGATAATGTCTCGGGTCCAGTGTGACACTTCTTCAAAACTGCACCTCATTGTAGCAATTATTTGATGGTAAAACAGAAATGGCATTCGGAGAGGACCTATTGATTCAAAACGTTAATTCTGTTTGGTATGACTCCAACCAAGAGAGATTTTCTCCCAGCTGTCCCTCCTGATTCCAACTGACTCCAGTTTTAGCGTCACAAGGTCATACAGCAAAGACACAGACCCTTCAGCCCAATCATTCCATGCTGACCATAATCCCAAACTAAACTAGTCCCATCTGCTTGGCCCGTATCCCTCCAAGTATTTCTTATTCATGGGTACTTATCTAAATGTCTTTTAAGTATTGTACCTCTACCCACATCTACCTCTTCTCCCCAGAGGTTCATTCCACACATGAACCACTTTCTGAAATTGCCCCTTATGTCTTTTTTTTTAAATCTTTCTCCTCTCACCTTAAAAATATGCCCCCTTGTTTTGAAATCCCCAACCTTGGGGAAACATGCCATTCACCTTGTGGGATAACAAGGTGTAGAGCTGGATGAACACAGCAGGCCAAGCAGCATCAGAGGAGCAGGAAAGCTGACGTTTCGGGTCGAGACCCTTCTTCAGAAATGGGGGAGGGAAAGGGGATTCTGAAATAAATAGGGAGAGAGGGGGAGGCGGATAGAAGATGGATAAAGGAGAAGATAGGTGGAGAGCTTTCGGTTTTTAGTGTCCAATAAAGCCGAGTAGAATTGTGAGTTCAGGTTGTGGATCCTGCAAAGAATAAAAAGCAGGAGAGGTCCTTTGCAGGTCTGGGAGAGGGAGGCACTGAGCTGGGGTAGGCTTAATTGTAGTGCCAGGAGACGCCGACGTTTTGCTGCGAGTGTGTGTTTCAGGAGTCGCAGGGAGAAACGCTTCTGAAGGATCTCAATGTTCTGATTCACCTTGTGGGATGTTACCCATGTATCGCAGAAAGCAGGACAAATCTAACCCTGCAATTATCTTACCTCTTACGAGTTTATAAACTCAACTAAATTTAACTAATATAAACTAAATTTAAAATATCTAAAGTTTTATATATTTTGTACGAGCTCCTTGATGTCACACTTGGTCAAATGCTGCCTCGATGTCAGGCACAGTCACAATCACCCCACCTTAAAATCAACTCTTTTCTCCATGTAATGAGGTCAGGAACAGAGTGCCCTGGTGGAATCCATACATCTAATTGAAGAACAAGTTAGTGCAGAGTAAGTGCCTCTTCACTTCTTTTGCCGGTTTTATTTTATATTCATTCATGGGATGTGGGCATCACTGGCCAGGCAGCATTTATTACTTTTAATACATTTATTTATTATTAGTTAAGTGACAATCAGATCAACTGGATCATGTAGGCCAGAGCAGGTAAAGATGAGAGTTTCCTTCCCTAAAGGACATCAATGAATTAGATGGATTTCTCCCCCAACAATCAACAATGCATTCATGATCATCATTAGACTTCTAATTCCAGATAGTTGTTGAATTACAATTTCCACCATCTGCCATGGTAGGATTGGAGCCCAGGTCCCCACAACATTACAAGGGTTTCTGGATTATTAGTCGAGCAATAATACCACTAAGGCCATCACCTTCCTTATGATTAAGAGTAGACTGGAGTAACAATTGCAGTGTTTGATTTGTCCTGCTTTCTGCGGAAAGGATAAACATGGATAAGGATAAGCAAGGATAAACGTTGTCAGTTAGGGGCCAGTGTTGTAGCTGTACTGGAACAACCAGGCTAAGGATGTGGTGAGTTCTTGAAGTTGTTGTATCAAAGGGTTTCAGCATAGACAGGACCGTAGAATGGAATCCACAATCAAGACAGCTGTGATCTTATCAAATGGTAGAACAGGCCCGGGATTGGGAAAGGGAGGTGGGGGCTGAATGACTTACTTTGCTCCAAATTCACATGGAACATAAATATTCTCCCTAGAGCTTTACATGTGTTTCCCCTAGCTGTTTCTGAATCTTCAGTCACCAGCCTCTCAGGTGGGTGGCACGGTGGCTCAGTGGTTAGCACTGCTGCCTCACAGCGCTAGGGACCCAGGTTCAATTCCAGCCTCAGGTGACTGTCTGTGTGGAGTTTGCACATTCTGGGTGGGTTTCCTCTGGGTGCTCCGGTTTCCTCCCACAGTCCAAAACTGTGCAGGCTAGGTAGATTGACCACACTAAATTGCCCATAGTGCCCAGGGATGTTTGGGTTAGATATGGGAAATTAGGGGCATGGATCTGTGTGAGATGCTCTTCGGAGGGGCAGTGTGGACCTGTTGGGCCGAATGGCCTGTTTCCACACTGTAGGGATTCTATGATCTAAGTCAAAACCTGCCGTGCTATTTAAAAACAAAAATTCATGTCATTTCACCCCATTGCTCTTGTCGGTGATCTTTCTTCCATGTCCTCCCCTGGCCGATGGAAACCTGTTTGCCAACTCTGATCAAACCCCTTGTGATTTTGACCATTTCTATTGATCCCCCCCTTTAACTTTCTCTGCCTTCATGAGAAGAACCTCTGCTTTTCCAGTCTCTCAACATGACCCGAAGTCCCTCATACCTGAGACCATTCTGGTAAAGCATCCCTGCAAGCCCTTCATGTGGTCACCTGGATTGTGGTGACCAGAATGCAGCATGATATTCTAGCTGGGTCCTAAACAGTAATTTATGAGGATCTGTGGGAGCTCCCTTGTTTCTTTTTGCACTTTGTGCTCTATTTCTGAAGCCCAAAGGAAACTATTTTGTTTTCAGAAACATTTTTTCAACTTGCATCAGCAAAGATCTGTCTATGTGACCTTTAGACCTTAAGGTCATAAGATATAAGAGCAGAATTAGGCCATTCGGCCCATCTGTTCCGCTTTTCAATCATGGTTGATATGTTTCTCAACCCCATTCTCCTGCCTTCCCCCTCTAACCCTTGATTCCCCTTCCTAATTAAGAACCTATCTCTCTGTCTTAAATACACTCAATGACTTGGCCTCCACATCCCTCTGTGACAATGAGTTCCTCAGATTCACCACTGTCTAGCTAACAAAACTTTTCATCTCAGTTCTAAAGGAACGTCCCCTCAACCTGAGGCTGTGCTCTCAGGTCCTACTTGTGGAAATATCTTCTCCATGTCCACTTGATTCATGCCTCTCAGTATTCTGTAAGTTTCAAAGAGATTCCCTCTCATCCTTCTAACTTCCATCGAGTACAGACCCAGAGTCCTCAGTTGCTCCTCATATATCCCTGCGATCATTCTTGTAAACCTCCTCTGAACCTCCTGCAATGACAGCATATCCTTACTTAGACACTGCTCCTTATATTTCCAAATGCATTCTGACCACAGCCTTATACAGCCTCAGTGGTACATTTCTGCTGATGTATTCCAGCCCTCTCAAAATGAATGCAATCATTGCATTTGTCCTGTTTAAAATGATTGCGCCCATTTCATTTATAATGATACAACCTTTTGAGATGTTAAAAGCTGCTTGTTGTTCCCTCCCCAGGCAATTACTGGATCGACCCCAATCAAGGCTGCTCCAAGGATTCCTTTAAGGTCTTCTGTAACTTCACTGCAGGTGGAGAAACCTGTATTTTCCCTGACAGGAGAACTGAAGGGGTAAGTCAGCAGGGACATTACATGATGCAGTGAGATCAGAATGGTTCTATCAATGGAACACCGCACACAATTGAATACAAACCATGGTGTTTCCAGGCCCTCTTTATTCACTCACTCAACTAGCTAGTGCTATTCAGTGTGCCCTCTCCTTCTCTTTTTCAGTCAGTTCTACACATTTCAGAAAGAAATATTCGCAATTATTTGCACTGAGAGTACTTTCCACAGCCATTAATTCGTTCTGAACAGCAATGCTTGCTGCGCAGCAACTTCAACATTTTTTGTTAATTTTTTTGAAAACTGTTTTTAAAATTTACAGCCCCAAAATAAAGGCCTTGTTGGTCCATACTGCTGTTATGTTCCTTCTTATCCTCCCTCTTCATTTTATCCTGTTTTTATATCCTTTCAGTCCTTTCAAGAATTGAAGGGCTTTTCGTATGAGAAGTTGAGGAGGTTGGGCTTGTACATTGAAGTTTAGAAGAATGATAGGTGACCTTATTAAAATATAACAAGATATTTAGAAGGCTTGATAGGGTAGATGTGGAGAGGTAGTTTCCCCTTGTGGGAGAGCCTAGGACCAGAGGGTATAATTTCAGAGTAAGGGATTGCTCCTTTAAGACAGAAAGGAGGAGGGATTTCTTCTCTCAGAGGGGAATGAATCTGTGGAATGCTTTACCACAGAGGGCTGTTGATGCTGGGTATATTGAAGACCGGGGCAGACAGATTTCTGATGGGGTAAAGGCAGGAAAGTGGAGTTGAGGATAATGAGATCAGCTGTGATCTTGTTGATGGGCCAAACAGCCTACTTCTGCCCCTACATCTTATGGTGTTTTTCCTTGATGTGTCTGTCTAGCTTCTGAAATGAATGCAGCCCTGCTGTTCACCTTAACCACTCCCTCTGAGTAACCAGTTACACATTCTGCACCACCACCACCACTACCCCCAACTCCCCTCCCACCCCCGCGGCCCACCACCACCACTCTTGAGTAAAGAAATTGCAAATCCATTCCTGATGGATTGATCGGTAACTTTACTGCTGTACTGGAGTTTTGTTCCTCCTATATGGAAAGTCATTTTTTTAAGTATACGCTAATGAACCCCCTTTCGTAATTTTAAAGAGCTCTACCAGGTAACCTCTCGGATTCTGACAGATGAACTGTTTCACAAATACATTGGGCAGTAGGGACCAGCTGGAAGCATACCCAGACAGAATTGTTATGGCACAGAAGGAGATTGTTCAGCCCATCAGTTACTGTACTAGCTCCATTCTCTAATGCCAATCTCCTGCATTATCGCATACCACTGCACACTATTTCATCTCATGTTGTCTTGAATTTCCCCATTGAACATGCCTTCCATCACACTGCCAGGCATTTCCAGACCCTCAAAACTCACCGAGTGGAAGGTTTTTTTTCTCACGTCGTCCTGGCTTTGCAGACTTTGCGTTAAAGGAAAATAGCCTGGAGCTCTCGATTATCTGTCCAGTGGCAATGCACTACCCCTGTGCCTCACAGAATATCAGGACATAGTAATGGGACACTCTGCCTGTGTATCAAACCTCCCCTCGTTGTGGCGATGCCAACTACAAATGGCAAACGTTTCAAACCCTTGCTTTCTGAAGCACTTGGTAAACCTCCTATTAAATTTAACAACTGGAACTGATGCAGTTTGTAGTGTTTATTGTCCATTTCTGAGTGTGACCCATTCAGTGACTAACCCGTGTATGTCTGCGCTAGGGCTGATGCAATGCTGACCTCATGCCATACTGTCTCTAACAACCACTGTCATGTCCACACACTCTGACTTTTCCAGGTTAAAGTTTCATCTTGGCAAAGGGACAAACCTGGAACCTGGTACAGCAAATTCAAGCGAGGCAAGCAGGTAAGATTTCCTGAATAAGACTGTGCCTTTAATTCCCAATATTGACAATTTATCACATGTATCATAAGAAAGAGAGTTAACGCATTAGAGTGCGAAAGAGGGAGAGAGAACTCATTGCAAGTGTTACAGAAGGTCAAATAAATATGTAACTGAGTACAGTGCTCCTCACAGGAAGGGATGCAAGCAGGAGTAGACCAAGCAAGGATTAGGTGGTAGTGCAGTGGTAATCCCAGACTAATGCTCCAGGATGCGTGTTCAAATCGCACAGCAACTGGTGGAGATTCAGTTCAATTCATAAATCTGGAATTTAGAAGCTAATCTCAGCAATGGTGACCATTTAAATCATTGCCGATTGTTGTAAATTCCCATCTGATTTGCTGCTGATCTGTATGTGACTCCAGACCAAGGTTCCTTAGGCAGCACCTTCCAAACCCACGACTATTTCCAACTAGAAGGTCAGGCAGCTGATACATGGGAAAACCACTCCCTGCAGGCTCCCCTCCAAGTTACTCACCATCCTAACTTGGAAATATATTGCTGGTCCTTCAGTGTCTCTGGGTCGAACTCCCACCCTTAGGGCACAACATGGATATCCCTATAGCTCAAGGACAGCAGCAGTTCAAGAAGGCAGTTCATCACCACCTTCTCACAATAGTTATCAAATCCACCTTCTCCAAAAGTTACATGACCTTGTGTAACCATGAAGTGAACACCACATTCGGTTCCACTTTTGACCTTTGAGTCGTTAAAAAAAAACAGACAATCACAAACACACTGGTACATTCTCTGCAATATGGCAAGGTCTAACCTTCCATTTCTTAGTTTACATTAAAAAATGTATCCTTTCCAAAATACTGTAACAATTCAACTAATGACTATGGTTAATTGCTCTCACAGACACAGACCATTCAGCCCATCTGGTCCATGCTGGTATTTATACTGCACACTGAGCCTCCTTCCACCTTACTCCATCTCATCCCTCCAGCAAAACCTCCTAGCCCTTTCTTCCTCAGTTGCCTACTTAGCCTGTCCCTCAACCGCACACAGAAGGATCCCGTTGCCAACCAAGGCAACGTTGATGTAACTTTGCCGTGTGGTTTCCCTACTCTCCTCTTTGAGTGTGTGTCTTCTCTCTCCCCAGCTCATGTACGCCGACGCTGATGGCAATCCTGTCCATGTGGTCCAGATGACCTTCCTGCGCCTCCTGAGTGCCACAGCCCGGCAGAGGTTCACCTACAATTGCCAGCAGTCCATTGGTTGGTACGATGCTGCTGCAAAGAGCTACAAGAAGGCAGTGCGTTTCCTAGGAGCCAACGATGAGGAGCTGTCGCACTCCAAGACCCCGTATATCAGTGCCATCTATGATGGCTGCAAAGTAAGCAACAATTCTTCTGACTAGGGGGTCAACCTGTCGGAGGTAAACAGTTGAGTATTTGACCTGTGCTGTTGGGATAAAGTCAGCTGATTCCCCCAGGGTAAGGGAAGGGGGGAATCAGCTGACTTTATCCCAAAAACACAGGTCAAATACTCAACTGTTTAGCTCGGACAGGTTGGAAATGGAAATGGGGGGAGGCTGCACTATTCGATACACCAGACTTCAGCTAAGATGTTGAACCGAAGTATTCTGTTACAACGATCAGTTCAGCACAGGAATAGGCCCTTTGGCCCATCAAGCCTGTGCCGGCACATGATGCCTTTCTAAACTAAAAACCTTTTTGCCTCTATACAAGCCATATCCCTGTATTCCCTGCCTGTTCATACATTTGTCGAGTTGCCTCTTAAATGTTGCTATTTTAGCCACCCCCTCTGGCAGTGCATTCCAGGCGCTTACCACCCTCCGTTTGGAAATGAAACCTGCCTCTCACATCTCCTTTACACTTATCCCTGTTTTATCTTAAACCTATGTCCCCTAGCAATTGTCATTTCTATCCCGGGAAAGAGACTGGGACTGTCCATTCTATCCATGCCTCCCATCGTTTTGTCAACTTAGGTCAGAAAGTTGGATTTAGCTGGTAAAAGGTGACAAAGCACTGTTGGTGGATTGATATTCCCCTACCCCCTCCCCATTACCTGGCCAATAATCCATTCCTCAGACAATTTCACTGAAACAGTTTACCCACATCTGTCCTGATGGGCTTAAGGCCAAAAGCTTAGGCGCCCCGTCCCCTTTTCCCTTGGGAATCCTCATGTTCTGTCTGAGCAGGCGGCTGTTTTACTCAAATCCGCTCTCCTTTAACACTGCGTCCTGTTTTCCCTTGCAGCTGAGGAAGGGCACTGACCGGACTGTGCTGGACATTGAATCTCCGCGTGTTGTTGACTTGCCCATCAAAGATGTCGCTGTGACTGACTTCGGAGAGCACCAGCAGAAGTTTGGTTTTGAGGTTGGCCCTGTCTGTTTCAACAGCTAAACCTCAGAACGCGTGCCCCACTATTTTCTCTGTGTCATGTGTTTTTAAATGCAAAATGCACATTTTTTTTGTATTCCCTTTTGTCTCTATTATTCATGCTGCAGATGTTTTTTTTTATTGTGTGTGAATAACAATAAAATAATTCTTGCCCTTGTGGGGCTCAAGTCTTATGACCTTTTGAAGAGGCCAAGTCAGTGGTGGTTATCTCTGGGTCATTCTAAATTCCACAGTTGTTCTGCTCTGATGGTAGATGGCTAGGAGAGTCTTCTTCCCAGTAATTCCCGATTGTTGCAGAGGACTGGTGCACCAAAACTCCTCCCTTCGAGAGGCGTCCTTTCTCCAATAAGATTCAACCTATGACCTACTTCCTCAGTCTCCTAACACACAGGCATTTGCAAGTGAAGTGTTGAACCAGGAGATTACATTAAGGATTTGAAGCCAATCCCTTGACACTGCTGCCTTGGTAATGAAGCTGAGAAAGCAAAATAAGAAACTACATTCAACACTGCTTCGGCTTCAGGCTGACATTTTCCTGTGGCCTCATTGAAGCAATGCATTAAAAATGCCCTTAAATCTGGTAGATTGACCCTTTATCAGCTAGTTTATTTTTCAAAAAAGAAAACCCTCAAATTATGTTTTGACTGCTGAAAAATTAACTAACCCCTACTTGGATTCAGAGTCTACAGTGAAATCTTTAGCATGATGTCTACCTGTAACTGAGTGGTGGATGTATGTGGCAATTAGCCCAAGGCTCCACCCTGATGCACAGAGCTTGATCGCATGCTGGTGTGCCTTTGTTTGCAGCAGGATACCATTGGCATTCATTTATGTAGAAATACAGAGAGTCTACAATCCCCAAAAAGAGGCCATTCAGTCCACCAAAATGGTCTATGCTAGCATATGTACTCCACTTATGTAGAAATACAATGAGTCTGCAACCCAGAAACAGGCCATTCAGTCCATCAAATGGTCTATGCTGGCATGTATACTCCCCGAGTCTCCTACCTGCCATGCCCTTCCTCCCTTACATACCCCACTCCCCCCCCCCCCCCCCCCCCCCCTCCCCGAACCCATCCAAATGTCTACTCTTATCAAAAAGCCTTTCCCTTCAAGCAGTGGAAAAGTTTATTTGTACTCAGGATGAAATGAGATGGAATATTCAATACCCAGCTGCCTTGAGTCAGTCTGTGGATCTACCTAGGCGTGAACATTGGATCCATTTCAACCCCAGCCGGTTACATCTGCCCATTTCACCAGCAGTAAATCCCTCTACTTGCTGAGAAAGCTATACTATCTCAGAAACTGGGCAGCCACAGTTTAAAATTTGGATTTTGACTCCTTCCAACCCTCCCAAACCTAACCCATGGATTCCCCAGAACATTTTGTTTTCAGACTACCATGTGATTTAAGACACAACCAACATTGTGCTTGCAATGTGGAGTTGACAGGGGTTTGCAAAATTCTATCAGAGTTACTTCCAAGGGCAAGGTGAAAGGCGGCCAAATTAGTGACTAAAGGTCAAAATTAAGAGATGGAGTAATTCTTTATAAGATTCCAACTCTTAACCAAATAGCCATAATTTTTGCATTAAAGAATGAATTACCTAATGACTTTGATTATATTTTTAATCAAATTTGTGACTATCCAGAACACCATTGGAATCCCAGTTTGGAAAATGGGCTTCTCTTTGTGCCTTCAATGCTTGACTCCACCATCCCTCCATTCAAAATATCTCCAGTGTAAGTTAGTGGCAAAAGAACCAGAGGAGAGATAAGGAGAGTTTTTGTTTTAAAACAGGAGTTTGGAACACATTTCGGGAGCCATGACCTAGTGGTGTTATCCTGTCCATGGAAAGCAGGACAAATCCAACCCTGCAATTGTCACTGCAATCTCTTCTCAACCATAGGGGTGGTGATGGCATTGTGGTATTATTGCTAAACTATTAATCTGGAGACCCAGGTTCGAATCTTGCCACGGCAGATGGTGGAATTTGACTTCAATTGAAAAACTACTGAAATTAAGAGTCTAATGATGACCATGAACCCATTGCTGATTGTTGGGGAAAAACCTATCTGTTTCACTAATGTTCTTTAGGGAAGGAAGCTGCCATCCTTACCTGGTCTGGCCTACATGTGACTTCAGACCCACAGCAATGTGGTTGACTCTCAAGTGCCCGATGGGCAATAAATGCTGCCCTAGCCAGCGACGCCCTCATCCCGTGAATGAATGAATATTTGTTTTTTAAAAAAACTTCCTGAAAAGACGGTGAAAATAGATTCAATGGTCACTTCTGAGAGGGAGTTGAGTAGCCACTCAAGGGAGGGAAGAGATGAGCCAGACAAGAGGAGAGCGTGAGACTAATTGGATCATTCCTCCAAAGAGCCGGCCCAGACACAGTGGGCTGAATGGCCTCCTTCACTGGCAGGAAAGGACCCCAGGGCAAAGAGGCCCTTGCCTGTACAGAGTTCCCATGCAACATTGCTATGACTGACTACCTGCAGCAGCATCCAGAGCATATCCTATCAAAAGTGAAGCCAAGGCCTCTCTGGTAAAAACAATTGCCTGAACCACCAATTATTTTAAATTAATAAGTCTGCATGCGTTTCCTCCAGCTGCTCCAATTTCCTCCCACAGTCCAAAGATGTGCAGTTTAGGTGGATTAGCCGTGCTAAATTGCCCATAGAGTCTAGTTGTGTGCAGGCTGGATAGATGAACCATGGTAAATGCAGGGTTACAGGGATAGAGTAGAGAGTGAGTCTGGTTGGGATGCTCTTCAGAGAGTCAGTATGGGCTTGACGGGGCCGAATGGCCTCTTCCCACACCGTAAGGGATTCTATGAAACAGCATATTCAACACTGTTCCTGTTGACATACCTGAGGGAAATCAGAAAGTGATTGACGTGCGAATTGAGAGACAAACAGACCAGAACCCTCAGAGATTGAAGCTGTGGCCTTTTGGAGGGGAAGTGGGGTTCACGGATGGACAAGTTGCCCGATGAATGGCTAGCAGTTTTCCTTGAGGTTTGAAGGCCTGAGACGGGGAGAGAACAGTTATGGGAACCTTCTTTTGCCTCTAACCTGACAGGATGGTGGTTGGTACCGAGCTTGGGTGCCTGAAATGAAAAGCTTTCTATTCTCCACTTCCATGATCAGGGCAACAATAAAAAAAATCAGTGTGTAGCCTAATAATAGAGTGAAGCGTCGATGGCCTTTTCAAAAGGGCAAACGTTACTTTTCCAATAAGTGTAGCACCTTGTCGCTCACTATCAGAAGAATCAGAAATTTACAAATCTAATATATATTGAGGTAAAAATAAAATGGGGTAAATCGATTTTTACAGAATTGCTACAGACCCGTTTCAGTTTTGGGGAAATAGCGGGTCAGTTCATACCAATTGTCCTTTAACCCTCGATCCACTTCGTCCTGCTTTTACTGTGACAGAAATGATTCTTCTCAAACCAAGTTTTAAATGGTGCTAATCTCAAAATGCCAAAACTGTATTAAACTGTGTTGCTTGACTTTTTTTGTTACAAAAAAGTAATTTATGGAGTTGTTATTTTTAGATGCTTCTTGGTTGAGTGTTGGCATAATTTATTTCAGTTTAAGATGCCTTTGTGTATATAAATATTTTTTTTTAAAAAAAAGAGGAAAGCATTTGGATTAGATCTATTAAGTCTTGGGCAGGGGCTAGAAATTCGCATTCACTTTAAGGGTCAGTAGTCTCAGGTTCCCAAATTAATTGGCCATTTGGAAGCCATTTTAATTGTTCTTGTGCACAACTTATTCTGGGCTGTCTCAGCCAAAAGTTCCCTTGATTAACTTCACTGCTATCTGAGTTGGTAGAGAACTAGGCTGGTTGCATGTTGGACGAGTACGACAACCTCAGGGCCGAATGGCCCCGTTGACACTTCGTCCCCTTGGATTGCAAATGGAGTGCAGCCATCTTGTGGAGTCGCCTGCTAGAAAGAGTTTGCTGTCTTGGAGAGATTGATGTGGGTTGCGCCATGTGCTGGATCCAAAGATCCTGTCATAACTTTGGTCTGAAAAGAAAACGATGAATTAAAAATGATTATAAAATGGCTGTACGTGAACTGTTGGAGTCTTCCATCATGCCATAGCGCCACCAAGATAATTACAGAGTGTACTTACAGCGCAGGTTCGGGCCATTTTGCCCAATCTGTCCGTGCTGATGTATGAGTTCCATTTGAACCTCTACTGCCATCTTTCCCTACCTAAGTACACTGCATAACCTTCTATTTTCCTGCCCCTACCTGTAATTTTATCCTTACAGATGCATCTATACTACTCAGTTCAACCACTCCCTGTGATAGAGATTTCCACTAATCACCACTCTACAGAATCACAAAGTTATTACAGCACAGGAGGCCATTCAACACCTGCACTGGTTCTATTACCTGGTGCCAATCTCCAGCCTTCTCCCCAAATCCCTGCACACCAGTAATTTCCAAATAGTTATCCAATGTCCACGTTTCACAGCAGTGCATTCCATACCCTAACTACTCACTATGTGAGAGATAGTAGGAACTGCAGATGCTGGAGAATCTGAGATAACAAGGTGTAGAGCTGGATGAACACAGCAGGCCAAGCAGCATCAGAGGAGCAGGAAAGCTGACGTTTCGGGCCTAGACCCTTCTTCAGAAATTTCTGAAGTCCAGACCCGAAACGTCAGCCTTCTTGCTCCTCTGATGCTGCTTGG